CACTGCTCGGGCACCCATCCACTGCTGGGGCACCACCCACTGCTCAGGCACCATCCACTGCTCAGGCACCCATCCAGTGCTCGGGCACCCACTGCTCGGGCACCATCCACTGCTGGGGCACCCATCCACTGCTGGGGTACCATCCACTGCTCAGGCACCATCCACTGCTCTAGCACCCATCCAGTGCTCGGGCACCATCCACTGCTGGGGCACCCATCCTCTGCTGGGGTACCATCCACTGCTGGGGCACCCACCCACTGCTGGGGCACCCACTGCTCGGGCACCACCCACTGCTCTAGCCATCTACTGCTCGGGCACCCACTGCTCGGGCACCATCCACTGCTGGGGCACCCATCCACTGCTCGGGCACCCACCCACTGCTCGGGCACCATCCACTGCTGGGGCACCTCCCAGAAGCACCTTTTTTTAGGAGTTACACATAATCGATACGGGGAGACTGGTAAAGAGCTTTCAGCAGTTTATGTGAGCTTTTCTGACAGGGAAGTTTAAAAATAAATAAATAAAATGGCTGTAGCGTGTCATTTCACATTGCTCTGGATATAAACCCAGTTTGTCAGATCCTTGTAACAGTGCATGGAAATGGAGAGATTGTCCTGATGGAAGAATCAACTATAGGTGACTTGGTTCAGTGTTTTCTCTGTCTTCTTTCCTCTCACCGCCCAAACCCACAGAAAATCACAATGCATTTTAGCTGATTAGCTTTGAAAAATAATTTGGATTTTTTTTTTCTACATATGGACAGTTTTAGTTTATTGTAAGGACTCAGGGACTAAAAGCCAAACTCACAAACTTAGGGCCCTTGCTCAGCAGTTCCATGACTGTAATGGTGCCTAAACTTACTCTTGCCTTTTCCTAATTTGGACTTCAACCTTCCCTTAGTGAATTAATCTTCTATCAGTTCCTTCCCCTGCAGATGCCAGAAACACCCCAGATGAATTCCTAATGAATTCCTCACCTATCCTAAGCCACAAACCTCTCTCTTCCCTCACAGCCGAGACCCACAGCACTCAGGAGACCATAATGAGCATCTCACCTCCTGCTGAAGCTGTGCCAGCAGAGAGCAAGGGAGAGCCAGGCCCCCTCTGTAAATTACTTTTGATAAATCTGGCCGGTGCTGGGGCCTTGGCTCTGTGATAGAGGGATCAGTTCCAGATCAGTTGCAGATGAATACACACACACACACACACACACACACACACACACAGAGTGCATACTCTATATATTGCAGTTGTATATAAATATGTACATTGAATATGTGTGTGTATATATACACATAACCACGAGTGCATGGTGGGGGATCTGTGCACTGGCAGTTCCCTGTGATGAGATGTGGAACACAGGCAGGCACAGCCGATCTTGGGAGTGGGACCAGACCCCATGGCTGCCTTCACCACTCACTGTAAGATGCTGGTCCCTCAGCAATGTCCCAGACCCAGCCTGAATGCTGCTTCAGGAAATTTCTCCTGTTTCCCCCTCACACATCTTTCCTCTTCTGAAAAAGATCACTCGAATCTGCACTCAAAGATTTTCCCTCACTGCCCTTCATCCCCCAGCACCTGTGAGCGAAAGCTCAGGCATCTCTGCTCATCCTTTTTGTAAGGACTTGTTCCATGATCATGAAGTGATAGGACAAGGCATAAGAGCTTCAGACTGAGTAACCTGGTCTTTGGGAAGGTGTCCCTGCTCATGGTGGGGAGGGGTTGGAATGAGATCATCATTAATGTTGCTCCCAACCCAAACCATTCTATGATTCTATTACCCCAGTTCAAGTGTCAGTGTCAAACAACAGCTCCACACCAAGTGCCCCTTGCACTCTGCAGGAGCCACATCTTCCCACAGAGAGAGAGTGGGAGGGAGCAGCACCCTCCCGATCCCTGTGATCGAAGCACTTCCACAGGAGGCTGGGGTCCCAGCTCAGCTCCCATGCAAATGTGAACCACAGCTGGTTTTTCTTTTCTGTCACTGTTTTCGAGTGGTTTTTCCCTGTAGCCCCATGCTTCAAGTGTCAGCAGACAGCACCATGTGCTGGAGCCAAGGCCCCTTCTCCTGAATCAATGCACTCTTTCATCAGGTTAACTCTGACAGCCCGTTTGCTAAAACCACCGGAGCTTTGGGATTGCAATTTGCAGAATATAGCTAGAAGGGACAGGAGTGAAGAGCACATATGCAAGGCTACATGGAAAAGCTGTGATGGAGTTAATTTATAGAACCAGGGCAATAATTCATGAATATTCATGGTTTACTGCTATACTGGTAATGGCAAAGGGTGTTTTGTTCAGCTGGTTGGTTTGCAGCAAGCCTTGTGTGGGAGCTGGGGCTCTGCAGAACTTCAGGTGCTTTGTGCCTCTCAACCAAGGAAATACAAAGCACAGAACCTCTTCTGGATACTAGATACACCATGATGACTCAAGAAACTGCTGGGATAAAATGCAATCTTGTGAAACCCAGAGAAAGGATTGACTCAAGCACAAGGTTATTGTAGAAATTCATTGCTCTAGTGATGGAAGAAGTGATTGACAGAAGACTATAAACCTCAGGTTTAAAGTGAGTGCAGTGTCTTTAAGAAGAGGTCACATTCTCAGTTCAGGGGACAGAAGTTTTTGACACAAAGTAAGAAAAGCATCACAGCACTTCTTTTCAAAGGCGAGGTGAAAGGTGACTGATGTTTCCCCAGTAGCAATCTCTATTTCTTTTCAGGCTGTTATAAGGATGTAAGGCAGTTTTGCCCAAGTATTGTAGTAAGACATGTATTTTTTCTGCTGAGCTTGCAACTACTGCATTGTTTTTCCAAGTATTTACCCCTGAGTGAATATCCAAGTTTATTGACAAGTCTGCAGAGTTTTTCTGTTATTTACCATGAAAAGCCACAGTTGCTGTGTGTACAGCTGGAATTCTGCAGTGTTTTCCTGGGATCTCTCTGTCAGCAGTGACACTGCTCTTTTTAAAACCTCCCTTTCTTCAGCATCACCAGGATCACCAGTCCTTGTTCTTCTTGTAGGTGACTTTAACCTGCCAGACATCTGCTGGGAACTTAGTACAGCAGAAAAGAGGCAGTCCAGGAGTTTCTTAGCATGTGTGGATGACAACTTTTGTCACAGCTGGTGAGTGAGCCCACCAAAGGAGGGACTATGTAAGACCTGTTGTTTGCAAATAGAGATGGGCTGGTGGGAGATGTGGTGGTTGGAGCTCTTGATACTTGGTGAAATCAGGAGGAACATCAACATGACTCTTACATCGGACTTCTGGAGAGCAGACTTTGAGCTGTTTAGGAGACTTAGAATGTCCCTTGGGAAGCAGCCCTTAAAAACAGAGGAGTGCAGGAAAGGTGAGTGTGCTTTGAAACAGAGATCTTGAGGGCACAGGAACAGACTGCCCCTGTGTGCTGAAAGATGAGTTGATGAGACAAGCATCCAGCCTGGATGGGCAATGAGGTTTTGAAGGAACTTAGAAATAAAAAGGGGATGTATCATCTTTGGAAGGAGGATCAGGTGTCTCAGGAAATACTTCAGGGTGTTGCAAGACCATGTAGGAAAAAATTTGACCATGTAGAGGTCAAAGCTCAGCTGGAACTTCATTTGGCAACTTTTGTAAAGGATTATAAAAACATTTTTTACAAATATATTAATGGCAAAAGGAAGGGTAAGACCAACCTCAGTTCTCTACTGGATGGGAGGGAACTTTGTAACTGCAGGTGAGGAGAAGG